TACTGTCGATAAATATCGATACCGTTTTATCACCCAGGCCTAAGTATGAGGATGTAATGATGAGAAGAAAAAAACTCAGATAAAATGTTCAGAATCTGGTGGAAAATATGTTTTCCTATAATGTCACAATGCAAATAAAATGTTTATTAAATAGGCTTGTTTTTTTTTTGTTTTTTTTATGAATTATGGCATTTCAATAAAATTTACCCTGCAAGTATGCGGGCAGCTGTTTTTGTTGATTGCATATGTCCCTAATAATGTCTTCCTGAACCAGGCAGGAAATAATCTCCTGATCGTGCAGAGTCCAGGTGGGAGTCAGCCTGCCGTGGTGCAGTTGGTTCAGCAGAAATCAGATCAGCAGGTCGTTCAGATCCCCCCGCAGGCTCTAAAAGTGGTACAGGCTGCCTCTGCCACACTTCCCCCTGTACCACAGAGACAGACAGTCACACCCAGTGTGCAGGTGTCCCCCCCAGAACCCACACAGGTACATCAGGAAACAGCATTTTTGCTTTATGGTTTAATCAAGTTTAAACTAGGGGAGTTAATTCTGCTTAATTTCAAAAAAATTAAGAGAAATCAATAATTATCTAAGGATGTCATGCATGTGCTCTGCTCTCCCAGGTGCTGATTAAAACGGCCTCAGGTGAATGGCAAGCTGTACAGCTACAGGAGACAACTGTAACCACACCAACAACACCCACCAGCACCCCCACACATGCGGTGGTTACTAAAAAGTCTCAAACAGGGACACGGAAAGAAAGGACTCTCCCTAAAATTGCCCCAGCTGGAGGGGGTCTCATAACACTGAATGCAGCCCAGCTAGCTTCTGCTGCTCAGGCAGTTCAGACCATTAATATTAATGGTGTCCAGGTGCAGGGTGTTCCTGTAACAATCACCAATGCTGGGGGTGAGTGAGTGAGTGCTTTGTTTCCACAAACAGATGCGAAATACAACTTATAATTGATTTGTGTTACTTACCTCTTTCAAAGAATTGGAGTGATGCATTGTGAATAGGGATGCACCGATACCACTTTTTCCAGTACTCGCCCGAT